CAATGTAAATGGTCTGTGAATATTGCAACAGTCATTAAGAATGATGCCTGTGGGCTGGGGATTCAGTGGTTCTGCTACCTGCTTTGCAAGTGTAAGGACCTGAGTTCGATCCCTGGTACCAAAAAAAACACAAAAAAACAAGAAGAATGATGCCTGTTAGGGCCTGGGATTTAGCTTAGTGGTTCTGCTGCCTGCCTCACAAGCGCAAGAACCTGAGTTCAATCCCTGGTACAAAAAAAAAAAAAAGAATGATGCCTGTTGGTTCCACCGCCTGCCCCACGAGTGCAAGGACCTGAGTTTGATCCCCAGTACCAAAAAAAAAGAATGATGCTCGTGCAAAAATGTGTCTGCAGAAATTAGTCAACAGATTGTCTATCACCAATCAAGAGTCCAATAAATAGCTCAGATCCAGGTAGCACTAAATGGATCTGTTTCAAAGACAATTGAAGAGACCTTATAAGAATTTGAAAATGTAGCACTGGGGATGTAGCTCAGCCGTGCTGCGCCTCCCTGGCAAGCACAAGGTCCTGAGTTTGATCTCTGATACCAGGGGAAAAAAGAAGAATTTGAAAATGTGACCCAAGGCAATGTGTGCCTTCCTGAAGAGAGTTTTGTAACTTGTTTTAAGGATGAATTTATTCAGCTCATGTCCATTCTTTTCTTATGGAAACTTTTTTATTGATATGCAATGTAAATTGTTAAGAACTGATGATACAATAAAATTTAAAGTCACAAAGTAAATTTTCACCAAGGATGAAAGATTTCAAATCTGACTGAAAAAACAAGATACTTTAAAGGGATCCTATTTCTTGGAATATAAATTAAAAACATTAACACCCCAAATAAATCAGTGCTGTGACACAAACTCTGCCACATATTGGGAAAGATGTATGAGGAAGAGACTCATAGGACCTCCATGTTTTCTGAGTCAAGGCTTTTGGACCACAATAGTGAGGAAGTCTTGAGTAGATCTCTCTGAGACTCACTAGAAATTCCCCAGGTTTAGGAAAATCTCCAAACCTTCACAAAACAACCCATTAAATAAGGAAAACAAAGATTGTTGTAAGTAGCTTCAGTAAAGAAAAACACTATCTTAGCAAGGTTACTGACATGAATCATAAAGTGAATGTCAGAAATGAGATATTTATAGCATCTTGGGGTCTTGCCACAAGTGATTTAAGGTAAACCTTTCAAGTCTGAGAACCGACTGGAATTGTGTAGTCTGTGACATCATACTTTGAGATTAGTAAATCTAACAAAGTGAAGAAAATTTGAACTAGGTCTTAAGCAGTTACCTCATTTTTTTACATAAATTTTCTGAAGCAGGCACTGATGTTATGTATTGGTTTATAGTTTGTCTCTTCTGAGCAAAGATTTTCTGGAACAACCTATAGTCTCAGTTCTTTGGTCTATAACTACTTTTGATGTATTTTGCTCTAACTCTCACCTTAAAATACTGAAAGAATATGACAGTCTTAATCAGCTCAGGCTGCTATATGAATAACTAAAGTTTATTTCTCACAGTTCTGGAGACTGGAAAGTCCAAGATCAGGGTGCCAGTATGTTTCATTTCTGGTGAGCGCCCCAATGTAGGTTGTAGACTCCAATTTTTATTGGTATCTGCTATCATTTGGATCTTAAATATCCGGCAAAGGCCCATGAATTATTAGTCTTGATCCCCATGTTGGTATTACCGGGAGATGATGAAACCTTTAAGAAGTAGGGCCTCCTAGGGGTCCTTTGGTCATTGGGAGCATACCCTAGACAGGATCTTTCCTCTCTTAGAATTTTTCTTCTCTCTGGTCATGCTATGCTGCTTCACCTAAGGCCCACAGCGGTAGCACAAACCTTCCTGAAGTGGCACCTCCAAAACCGGGAGCTGAAATAATCCTTTTCTAAGCTGATAATTTGTTATGGTGACAAAAAGCTGACTACTATGGTATCCCCCATGGCGAAAAGAGTGCCCCTCTCCTCTCTAGCCTCATTCTGTATGAACATTAATCGTATCACTGAGTGCTCCTCTCTCATGAACTAATTACTGTCCTCAAATCCTTCCTCTAAATATTATCATATTGACATTACAATTTCAACATATGTATAAATATTGGAGGGGGAAGAGGAGACACAAACATTTAATCTTTGGCAATGACTGTTTTATATAAAGTTCAAAAGCAAAAAAAAAAAGAAGAAGAAGTTATATACCTTAGGAGTTCTTATGTAATTGGCAAAATCTCTTACTACAAGAAAGAAAAGCTTATCACCAAAGTCAGGGTAGGTGGTTATCTCTAGGATGAATAGGAAGATGTTGACTTAGAGGGGCAATTGAGAAGTTTCTAGAGTTCTGATAGTCCTGGGCTTTATGACTTTAGGGGTAGATATACTTCCAATTGATTAAGAACTGAAAGTAATGAAACTTTGTGTTTTGAATTCAAAGTCATGTCCTTTTGTACCAACCAGTGTCTGAATTTTAGTAGCAATTCCCATCTCCTCACTACTTCCTATACTTGAATGATTTTAACAATGTTGCTTATTTTCTCATCTCAATTTTCCTAGAGTAAAGTATGAAAATATGATTCTGTGAAAATTGAAGTTTGTAGTTTCAATGATTTTTATAATTTAAATGATATCCATTGCATCATTTTCATTATTAACGATGGTATCTCATCCCATTTCTAAGTACCACTTTCTATACTGCACATTGATCCAGAGTTTGGAAAACTTTTTTTCCTTTTCTCACTTATTTTCATTTCTAAATTACTGGACGATGCTCTTGTTTGCAACTGGGAGTTATTTTTCCCCAATAAATACTATACTTATTTTTCTCTACCCTACTAGCTGCTCCCTCCAAGGTTCTTATGCTGGTTCTTTGATTAAGAAGCATCTCAGAAATTACTATTTGAGTCTTTTGTGTTTTATATCTAGATTATCTCATTAAATCTCATGATTTTAAATACTATCTATAAGCTTATGACTCCAAATTATTGTCTCCACCCTGAACCTGTGGCTTGAGTGCTTACCTCATATGTACAATTCCCACTTGTCACTAAGTTGTCTATCAAGCATCTCAATATTAACATTACTAAAACTAAGCTCCTGTTAGTTTCCTGTCCAAATCTGCTCAGCACATAATCTTCCTTATATCTTTTAAAGGCAACTGCACCCCTCTATTGCCTAAGCCCCCAAATCTTGGAGGTGTGCTTGACTTCATTTTTTCAACTCTCACATAAGAACTATTAGCAAGTCTGCCCATCTCTACCTTCAGATTAAGTACAAACTCTAGCTGCTTCTCATCATCTTCATTGCTACTTTCTTAGTTCAAGTCACAATTTTTATGTACCTGAATCTTAGAAAAATAGCACCCCAACAGATACCTTTTTTCACGCTCAATCCATTTTAGTTTATTCGTAACACAACAGTCAATTAGATTCTATGGTAACATAAGATTGGTCAAAAACTCTGCTCAAAATCCTTCCAAAACTCTATTTCACTTATCCAAAGCTAAAGTCAAAGTTTTCATAATTACATATAATCACCCCCTGATGTCAGAGCGTGCAGCCACATAAGCCCACATGCAAAGCAGTGTCCTTCCACCTTCGGATTCATTTTTCTTCATGATATGTGCCCTCAATCGCACCGCTCTGATCTCTCCTATAATTTTCCTCTCATTTCACTCTGCCACAGCCACACTATCGCTCCTCAGCTCCCAATGTGCTCACACTTCAAAACCTCACTTTTCACCTGTGTCGACCTCTCACCTTGGATCTACATGATTCGCTCCCACACTTGGTTCAGTTTTTATTCAGATATTGCCTTCTCAACTAGACCTTTTGTGATTATTAATCCATACTCTTAGCACCCTTCATCATTCTTTTCAGATAAAGTTTTCTCATTAGCCTGTATATGTATATATATGACCCTAATTTATAATTAATATAATATAGTGTACTTATTTTTTAAAAATTTTTGTTTATATATAGACACATACATATACACATGAGAACTGTAGCTCTGAGAATGTGAGATTTTCACTCTCGTTTGCTGCTATATTTCAAAAACAGACTCCTGCCTGAAATACAATATACATTCAATAAAATTTTTTTGAAAGAATAATTGGGTGAATGAATGCACAACCTAACACCTCCACAGTGCCTAGTATCTCAGTTTTCTCAAGCTTAGAACAAATGAGTTTCTTCTCTAAAATGACTCAAAATTTTGGGGAGAAGAATTTTGACTGTTCACTCATACATTCAATCCATCTTAATGTGTAGTTAAGACCCATTGCTTTTTATGTAGTTTTTCATAAGTCAAAATTTCTTGTTTATCGTCCTCTACCTTCTTCCATTTACTATCACTATTTGAGTTATTCTCTCTGTCATTCATTTAGTACTTTCTTGTATTATTTCCTTAGCACACATGGTTTCTAATAATGGCACTCTCTCAGCAAACCGATCTATATGATCTAAACTGGGCACCCCACCTTTGATTTAATACAGTCATACAGGGAAATATGCCTCTAGCAGAAAGATTAACATATTCCAACCTATACAGGTCATTAAAGTATTCTTCTGGCTATCAACATTTCTGACAATTAGAGATTACTGAAATTTTTCTTAATTTAGATTTCACTCAGAAGTAAATAAATGCTAAGCACTGTGCTGAATATTAGGGCTGCTTGGGTAGATCCTCATCTTCATGGCTTTACAAATTTCTTTGACAAATTTCTTGTTTACTTCATATATTCTCCAGAATGTAAGACCAAAACTTTTCAGACCAAATTCCTGGGACTGACTGCTCTTCCCACTACAATTTGTTAATTGCTAAGGGTTAAATTTCAACAATTATTAGTAGCCAATAATCCAAAGCTGTCTAACAACTCTTAAACATTTATAAAAATATATATTAGACATTATTCTTCTAAGTAGTAAGTGAAAGACCTAAAATATATAGCTATATATATGGGCAGGTTATCAAACTTTTGCAATTCAAATTTTGGTTTACAGGTTTGCAACTGCAGAATTATCTGGGATCTTATTAGAAATGCAGACTACCAAGTAAACCTCAGACCTACAGAATCATAATGTGCATTTTTACAACATCCTCAGTCAATTCGGATGTCCATGAAAATCTGATATGCTGCTGTACATCACTTTGACTTGTAAGTTCTTTCTTGTAATTCTTCTACCTAGTTTCATTACTGAGTTCAGTGAAATAACCAAGAAGAAAAAGTGTAACAACATTTTGACTCCAGGGAGGTCAGCATCAGGCTTTGTTAGGCACCGTAGATAAACTAGAGTTTTAATGGAATGATGGCAAAGATAAGTGGCAAAATCATTTACAAGTTTTGCCACCTGTTGACTTTATTGAAAATGCTTTGAAAGCAATTTAAAATTCTTATAGAAGAATAATGTAACCCGCCAGTCAGGAGTCTTCTGAAAACTTGAGCAATTAATTGATGTCCAACTCTCCAGGCATCAAATACAATTATTGTTCTACTTGTGGTACAATTTAACTTCCTGTTCTTGTATTAAATGCAGAGAGAATTGCAAATAATTAAGACATAAAGTCCACTTGGAGGGAGAAAATATTTCAGGTTTGGAACATAGAAGACACCAGCCTAGTAATACGAAGTTTAAGTTGTACTGCTGATCTGTTGCAGATAAACAATCCTGATATCTGATAATAATGTATTTAAGTATGTATGGTGTATTGGAAAATAGCTTACAATGGGATGAATCCTAAGATAATTCTTTGAAAGAAACCTCAGGCATTAATTTCTACTATTTAACCTTAAAAAACACAATTTTGGGCTTGTATTTCATTAACTGTAAAGTTAGATGGTAAGTCTTCCTACTAGAGTTTATTAATTTCCCAGAGTTGAGGTTCAGCAATTAGAAGGATGGTGCAAGGATAATTTATATGCAAATGTGTCATAGACAAACAGAAACAGGTTAATATGACATTGCATTATTCACTAGACTTAGATAAAGCCATATTTTTCATTGCAAATTTAACATATTTTTTGGTAAAATAAGTCTCATTATTTTATAAATTGTGACTTAAATTGTGCAAATGCCAAGCAAATCTGTGTTATTTACTCATTGATTCTCCAGCAATGTATGTACTGACAATAAGGATTTGTACATTAACTCAATAGAATGCCTGTATTGTTTTTCATGCTGCTTCCAGTTGCCTCAACACACAAATAAGATTACTTATATGACACGTAAATCACTTCCACCCACAAATTGCTTTACTTTGAATTCCTAGGCAAGTGTGATGTAAAGTTCTCATTGCTCTTTTTTTAGGAAAATGAGACAAAACAATATATGGAATATTATAGTCATTGCTTCTAAGCTGTAAAATATATTTACTGAACCACTGCCTCTTGATGTCACATGGAGACATTCAAAAAGAATGCAAGTAGGCATTGTTAGGCTCTTAAAGAATATTCTGTGAGAATTTTTGTTGCTTTAAATGTATATGCACTCATACACACAAACATATGTGTATATGAATAGAAATATAACATCTCAGATATTCTTCTTGCTACCTACAGGCATCAACACTTGGACTTAGGGTGGGAGAGATTAGCTATTCATTCAGTAACACAATCTATTCCTCTCGGGAATATGGCTAGACTTTTTTCCCAGACTCCATTAGAGTTTGAGTTCTCCAGGTAATTGAGTTTTATGTGGAAGAAAGTTGAGTCTCCATAAGCCTGGATTCCCAGATGATTGCTGCAAAAAACACACATATTTACTATTCCACACATCCACCTCCTTCTTCAGTACCAAGTGGAATTTTTGTGGGCAAGTTAAAGCTCCAAGGTGTCCAACTGATGGGAGTTTGGAGTTTACTTGATCATAAAGTTAGCACCACTTTCTTTAATAGGTGTAACTATGTGTCTGAGAAACATGTGTATCTCTCAAGAAATTATGACTCATTCCTAATTCTACTCATTTCCCACTTATTCACATTTTTAAAATCTGGATAAAAAATATAAACCAGAACAGGAAGACAAATAAGAAGCAAGAATAAAGATGCAACAGGGAAATAGACGTGAGAATGTGAAGAAGCCTGATGGTGTCCAGTAGGTAGCGAGGGCAGGCTAGATGTCCTGAATTATTGTAAAGCTATTTTCTTGTTATAGCTTCTTTTAATTAGAACCACAATTATACTCATAGCCTTTTTTGATAATATTCATCTGCTGCTCTCGTTTCTACTCTCATCTGCCCAATCTGGCTCCCATTTTTCTGGTGCAAACCAATAGGACCATCTTTCCAAGTGCAGTTAGCACCCTAGAAGGGCTATTGTTTCATCTTTCCTACCTTCTTGATGGCATTTGTTATGCTCATAGTAATATTTCTGTAGGCAAAATTAAAGTTGAATAGCTTTTAATCTTCTTCCCCATCCTTCTTTTGAGACATTTGTCTTTTCTGCACTTCTTTAATAAAAAATTATCAAATTTACTAATTTCCAGTACCATAGTTGGCATTGGGATCATAGGAACATCTACCTATGAGAAGCTGTTAGTCTCTGTAAATAGCCAAGTATGAAACAAATCCCAGGGGAACAATGTGTTGGGTTCTATAATAGAGGTTTTTACACAGGCCTAGAGAAACTTAAAGATTAAAATTGATTCTGAGAGGGAACTCATAGAAAATTATGGGAAGTGATAATTACACATGCCCTTTAAAATGGGTATATATTTAAAGAACCAGATAAGGCAATGGAGGTATGCCCTGGGAAAAAAGACAATGAACAAAGGAATAGAGACAAGATACAGTTTCATCAGTAAAGAATTGCTATGAGAAGAGAATTTGGGTTTACTATGAAAAGGAGTTTATGGTAAGTATCCTTAGAACACTGGCTGACATGCTAAGAAAGCACCAGTAGGGTGTACGTTCTTATATGCATTCTTAGGTTCTATCTTTGGCCTAGCAAGATATATAATGAGAAAAAGGATACAGGGATCAATTATAAGTTAATTTCAATAAATCAAAGAGTAATGATAATTGCAGTCTATTACAGTATCAATAGGAGCTCTAAGGAGTACTCAAGAGTATTTATCACTAGAATAGATAAAGGTACAGACTAGAGAGGAAAGAATCAAGGATGGCTACATAGCATACTGGAAGGAAAAAACTGATGAATCAAGCAGTGGAAATAAGCTAAAACATGAGTGCTAAAATAGTTCCTTTGAATGGTATACAGGGTAAAAAGATAAGGTCAAGTACTCACAGGTAATAAAGCAAAACTACCAGTGTCCACTGTCTCTAAAATTAAATGAGAAGAAAGTCCTAAAAAAGAGAAAAGGCAAACAAAATTATCTCCAATTGCAGATAGAACAAGTATCATCAAGTAGAATTATTACCAAAAAAAAGGAAAGTATGGTTAGATTTTGAAAAAGCCTAGAAAATTTCCTCTACATGTAGACACACTTTAATGGTTAATTTCTAAAGAGAATTACCAAAACTTTTGGCTAATTCAGAAAAATACAGAAGATTAAACTACATGTAAATTAGAGGAGTCAGGTATTAGGCAGTAAATATTTTTCCCCCACACCAAAGTCATATGCTTTCCCAACCTGATGACATTGGGAAGTGGACTTTTTGGGACACATTATGTTATTTATAAAAGAAACCTCGGAAAGCTCTCTAGCCTTCTTTCCACTTTGGTGGATACAAGCAGAAAGCAGTCTATAAACTGGAAGAGGATCCTCATCAGAACCCCACTATGTTGCCACCCTGATCTTGATATAAGGCACCAAGTAATCCAAAAAATGATATAGGCAAGTAATCCAAATAAACAAAAATAATTCAAACAAGGGAAATATTATAACTCCCAACCTGCTAGATATCCAAAACATGAGTTAAATTTCTCTGAAATCGAAGAATGAATTCTAGTAACAATGGGAGTTAAGAGTAGGAAAAATTTATTGAGAGAAAGGTAGCTTCTGTATAAGAGAGGCAGAAGGGGGACTGGAAAGTGGGATGCCCACCTATCCTGCTTTTCAGAGGTGTTTTATAGGGCAAAGCCACAAGGTGGGGTGGGTACAAAGTGGGACAAAACTATAATACCCAATGGAAAATTATAAGGTGGGCGAGAGGTGGGATAAAGCCATGATCATCCAATAAGATTACAAGTACAGTCACCCAGGTAATATTGATTAAACAGGGATGAAATGGGAAAACAAGTCAGGTACAATGAATTTCCAGAAGGGAAATGGACTAGGGAGATTGATGCCCATTGAGAATATTAGTCACTGCTATTTTTCCTTCTGGGGAGTAATTGGGTGCAGTATTTTTCTCTTTTTATAATGCTAACCAGTGAATGTGTCTTGATTGTCTTTCTATGCTGAGGGCCCAGCTTTGTTTAACTGCCTTATTATTATTTCTAACTAATTTAGCTATCTGCAATAATTTCATATTTTTAGCCTTCAAAACTATGATAAATAAATTTGTTATGTATGAGGTGCCCACTCTACAGTACTTTGATTCAGACACATAAAATTACTGAAAACTTAAATCATCCCAATAGTTTATCGTGTATACATAAGACCAGGTCTACACACAAATAACTAGCCTTCCCAGATGACCCTTTAAGTTGTTGTTATGTAATTGTTGCTTCTGCCTTCAAAGTTTTCAGACCAGATGAAGTTAATTTTTTTTGTTTTGCCATTAATATCTTCACTTAATTTCTGTACAACAAAGTGATTTCAGGCAGACATTAATGCAATGCTATGCTGAAGTGCGCTATAAATACAATGGGACAGAACATAATTCAAAATTTTTTAAACATGTCAAGAAACAATAGGGAATTCCTGGCAATATAGCACAGAAAACTGAACTCAAGTGAAAAATACAAATTAGAAAGTGATTAATGCAAAAGCAGATCTAGAGATGATACTAAGGAGTAGGATTTGAACAGATACAGTTTAACAATAAAAAATGTTCTAAAATTAGTATAAATATTCTTAAACCATAAGTCATTTTGACCTTCTAAGAGATATAATTGTAAGCATCTTTAAAGTATTTCCCAATCACATATACCATCTACTATCATATATTTTAAAAATAATTCTTTTCCTTCTACTTTCCAAAAATTCCTATCTTTAGAATATGTTGAACTGAATGCTTATGAAGAAACAAAATAAACAAAAAACTCTAAAAAGAGAAAAATCCTTTCTGTTCTTTTCCAAAGGAATTAACAATCCTGACTATCCTTTCAATTTATCTTATATTTCTTCACTTGGATATCCTAGTTAATCATTAGATTTAGTGTATACCAAACTCAATTCTCTTTTTCCAATCCTATTCATTTCTTTGCTTCCTTAATTCCACTAATAACATTAGGATTAAATAATCTTTGACTCCTTTCTCCTCCTTTGATTTCTAACTGGCAACTAAGTCCCGGCCCTCACTCTGATGCTCATGTCTTTTCTATATCTTACGCTTGTTCTATCCTCTTTATCTTTCCCCTGCCATTTGTCCTAGTTTCCTAATTTTTTCCATTCAGACTTTCCCCATTTGCAAAAATGCAACACTTTATTGATATATGTTTTATATATCAAAAAGCCAAACATATTTAAAATACACAGCTTAGTGAATTTGAATATATATGCACACGAAACTGCACCAAAATCTATGCTATAAACCTACCCATCACTTCCTAAAGTTTCCTTCTGCCCTCACTACTATTAATATTACTATAATTAGTGATAATAATATCTAACAAAGATCTAGTCTTTACTAAAATTTTAAGCAAACAATACAATATTGCTCACTAGAAGACTACAGTATATTTCTAGGCTTTCTTTGTTTTGTTTATTAAAGTTTAATGTGGACCATATTGGTCCTTTATCTAAACATCTCCAAAGGCTGTCTCTTGAATATTGAAAAAAACTAAATGTCTTTGCTTGTTATAGTCAATATTTCCCAAATTATTTTTCCAATTTTAATCTCCATTACTTCCTTTTCTGTATCTTGGTTTCTAGTAACAGCAAAATATGCTTCCTATACATATCCTTTGATCTATTGCTTTTATCAGTCCCATGCTGGTAACGTCTGCCCATCATATATACCAGTAATTGAAATCCCATGTAGCAATCAACAATCTCTTTCCTAAAGTCAAATAGCATTTTTTCATCTCTATATTATATTCATATTTATCTAAGGTTTCCATGTGACTGAAAGTTTCAGGGAGATAAATGTGAACAAACATCAGAAAAATAAAAAACATCTTTAAATTGAAGATTGTTATTATTCCTTATCCTTGGACCACTACAAGATTTAGTATTTCCTTCTACTCATTTATCCTTTTAGCTTTCTTTCATGTTAAAGGTAAAATATACAAACACAAAGTTGATAATGATCCTAAAACCATCTTTACATTTCTTAATGAAGAGAAATTTACCTCTCCAGAGCCCCCACTGTTAATTCAGGCCTAGGTTCCTCTTTTCTTGCTCAAAAATTAACATAATCATTAAAATGATCACTGTGAAGAGCCTGGTTAACTCCTGGAAACATTTTTCACTGTAAGCTTCTGGGATGATGGGAGGCTAAAGTTAAAAAAAGAGGCTTTTTACCAACACTGGCCTAAGAATCATAAATGTATTGACAAATTCAATTTAAAAATCTCCTTATAATCTAGGCATCATTAGTAGTTCCATTTTGCAGAAGAGAGTACCAAAACATGGAGAGATTAAGGAACTTACTCAATATTACATGGCTAGAATGTGGCAGAGCTGGGAAGAAGCAAATATTTCAGTCAGCTCAGGCTAGATTATGGTGCAATGACTTCATCAATAAATCAATTAAGAATTTCAGTAACTTGACCCTCTAGTCCTTGGCATCAACTTATTTCAAGTATAAAGTAAAAGCAAAGTGAAAACAGCAAAATCATATTAAAATATAATGCTGCCATATGATTTTTACTTTTAAAAAACCTTCTATTGTATGTAGGCACAATTTTCAAGTACATTGATTATTTACCCATTTGAAAACAACTCTCCTAATTATGTAAAAGTGAAGTGATTTTTTTGTTTCCTCATTCACAGTCCATGCAGGATGGAATAGGATCACCACATCAAAGCCAAGTTAGTACAAAAGACTGAAGATATGATTGAAAAAGATCAGAGTTCAAGTTCCAGCTATAATATTAATGGAGGATATGTGCTTGTGTTAGTTATTGAACTCTTCTGGACTTCAGTTTTCTCATGTATGAAATGAGGATACAAGTACCAACTCAGCAAGATTACTGTCTGAAATAAATAAATAATATGTGCTAATTGGGAAAGAAATCACCTCTTCTTTGGGATACAATGTCCTGGTTTCAAATTCTAAGTTCTGACATCTGGATCACAATATAATGCTCTGGTTGTAATTATTTTTTTCAAAATAATAATAAGAGCAGTCTGTAGAGTTATGGAAAGCTTGGAGATAAAACATAAAATCTTGACACAACAGTTGGAGCTTAATGTATGCTTGATCCGAATATTTAATATTTTCTTAGATCTATAGGAGATATTTGATATTCTAGATATTTTAAAGGTGTTACTACTTACCCCTGACATCAATCAGCTTAAATCTCAAACAAAATAATCACACATTATTCATCTCATCTTGTTAAATCCCTTTACTGACTCACCAGTACCTTCTGCATAACATTTTAATTTCTATTCCTAATATTTTACATATTTACCTGGCAGACTTACAAAGCAACTTTTCGTCTTTTCTATATACCATTTTCTGGAAAAAAGGAGGACCCAAATCATTAAGCTACACAGTATTCTTGTTGCAGAATAAAAAGTTAAGGAAACAAGTTCATGTAATCTGACTTCTCAAATTGACTTTGCTCTGCAATATAGAATTGATTATTCAATTTTGCCATCTTCTACTTTTGCTCAGACACTCAAGTTCCCTACTATTTTTTCCCTTTCACATCTTTCTAAGACATGTGTAATTGGAATAGTTCTAGAGTTCTTAATTAAATAGTTAATTTAATAGTTAATTAATAGTTCTTAATTAAAACAATGAGCATTTAGTTTATATAATTTGTCCAGGTAAATAATGTAACTTTGTAGTGATTATTTATTGATATGAGCATTAAACTTGTGTGTTCTAAACTCTAGTGGGCTAGACAACATTTTCTCTGTTAAACACATTGATATCCTTGTTGAGGAATTTAATTGATAAAAGGAGACCACAACGACAAACCTCTGAGTCTTAACTGTTATACACCAGTGACAGCAGTAATATATTATGCATACAAATACATGATTCATCTTCAAGGAACCAGAATTTTTTAAAGCATAAAATTACTAATGTTTTTGTAAACAACACATTTACATTTCACTAACATTTGTTATTTTAACACCTTGATGGGATTGGTCATTTTAGTTAGCTGTACAGTGCTAGTTCATTTGCACAGCAAATATTTAGAACTAGGATTTAACTAGTTGCTAGGTTAAAAGAAGAGCCCCTAGGCTCCAAGAGAGGATGAGATGAGAAAGAATTTTCACAGAAGATAGGATTTTTCAAGTTGAAGGAATACCATGGCCAAAGATCTTAAGGCTGATGTGAGACTGGAATGGCAAATAGCACATTGATCCTCAAAGACTTTCTATTCCATGTGAAGAAGTTTGGGCTGTATCCTCTCAGAAATGTTCTTCCAGATCATACATCATAAAGGGGTTTGAAAGCCCAGAATTAATTTCCAATGTAATATGGCAATTGATCCATGTTAAGCTCAGTATGAAAGAGGAGAATGCAAAAACTCACTGAACATCAACCTGGTAGGTTGGAAAAGGGTCTTCTGAGATAGAAAACTATCCTAAGATATACAGGATAAAGAAATCATATGAGGAAGTTATGAGGGGTATTTCTGATGGAAGAAATAATAGGCAAAATCTGGCAGTGTGAGAGCTTGATATATTTGGTCTGCTGCTCTTCAGTAGGCAATGGTGTGAGGATCCAATGGAGGTTTGGTGAGAGGTGAGAGATGTGGCAGGATAAATGAATAAGTTCTCACTGAGATGGGTTTTAATACTGAGATATTCTATTAACTTGAATGACAATGAGAACAGAGATTAGAAGATTTTCTTCCTATAAAGTTGTCTTCTGCTTTTGGCCAACACTGACAAGTAATGATTGATAGAGTGGATCTGTTTCTTTAACACACATCTTTTATTGAGCACTTACTCTGTAAAAGGGAGAGTATGAGGTACTAGAAGAGATAAGCAAGGAAACAGGCAATATACTCATTCCTACTCTCCATCTGTGAAATTACTTATCTGCATCTACTATGTGATTTATACCAGAAATAAAATGCTCCATGAAATATTGAGAGGGCCTTTGTTCATATTGAGTTTAGAACACAGATTACAAAAAGGCTTATGGTGCTGTGTTAGTTACTTTTCTCATTGTTGGTTCAAAATACCTGAAACCCACAAGTTAGAGGAGGAAAAGTATTTTGGTTTGCAGCATGTAGACCTTTCAGTCCATAGTTGGCTGGCTCCAAGGCAGTGTGGCAGGGCAGAGGAGAAACAGTTCATGGTAGAGCAAGAAGGCAGTAACAAGCAGCAAGCAGCAGCAGTGAGCCTTCCTTTCCCTTTTATTCCATCTAGGCTATAAGCCTTTGGGTAGTGCTATCCACATCCAGGTTGGGCCTTCCCGTTATCCACACTTAGAACTATGCTAAACCAATCAGTCCACTAATTTAGTACCACACACCCTTAATCCTAGTATCACACACACTAGACCCAGCCAACTCTGAAAAACCTCCACCTATGAGTACATGAAGCTTTCAGGGGACATGTAGATACAAACCATAACAGTTATTTTGTAAGTTCAGAGGAGAGGCATTAAGGTGATATCTGTCCCTGTGTAGTGCCTATGAAACAGAGTAAGAGATAAAAAGCATTGTCAGAACAGATTTTCCAGAATAAGAAGGACAAAGAGGTATAAGAAATTTTAACAAGGACAAGAGGAGAGAGAAAACTATAGTGCATTCCAGAATTTCTACAATGGATGTCAACTATACAATTGACACTAGGAAAAACCCCATAGAATAGAGAGAAAAACCTCTGATCAGAAAGGGTTTTCTCTCTCCAGCTCAATGAAAAAAATCATTCATTTGGTGAATTGGTTGCCTTCATTTACATTAAGTTGAAGTTTGTAGAATCTAGGAACTGGAGAAAAGGACATTACTATTTTAATTTTAATGACTTTATTTCTATACCTCTAATAGAGAGTAAATCAAAGGCTGATGATAGTTCTGCAGCTGGTAAAGAGAAGCATGATGCAGATAACTATTTTTATTTAAATTGATGTGTTGTATTCATAGAGATTAAAGCAGGATGCTGCAGCTGCAAGAGGGAATTTAAAATTAGAGCAGCTTCAATAGTGCTGTTCACAATTTCATCCAAATTCCCCAGCCTTGCCCTATAGTAAGCATTTTTTTTGCATTTGTGCAATATGTGTATATGCATGCATACACATTTCATATTTTCATTGGAAATTGAGATGAAACTGCTTTAGGCTCTGAAAATAAAATTACTGTCTGTTGGATAATAATCTCTCTTTTTCTGCTCATGTGCATAACTTTACAGTCATGTCAAAACTGTCACCTCTTATCTGCTGTTTCTACAAATAAAGCAGCCATCATTCAATTTCCAGTACCTGAACAGGTACTATTTGTTCCACATAAAACAAATGATAAAAATTTTCCTCCAGTGTTTTCTGACCAAAAATAATTGCTGCATTTCAAAGAGTTGCTTATGTAACTCAGATGTCCTAGATATCTCCAGGCTTCAGAGGTCATCTTCTCCTGTAAATCCCAAATATGAAAAAATCATCACTCTGTTTGTCCAGAGAGGTCTTCTTTTCTTAAACTGGATTTCCTTCTTCATATAGTTCCAGGAACCTTCACAGAAGTTTTTGGTTGAATAAATCTTAATGTCTAATCTCACCTATTAGGTTCAACAATAATATCATTACTTTATATTACATATCCTTTTACTAAGTCCATGCTAATTCATGTTCTCATTTACCCTTCTCACATTATCTTATACACAATGTGACTCAGATGCTGATAGCACACAGATTTAATTCTGGCTTGGATCTAAATCTTAGGGTTCCCATTGCAGTGCTCAATGACAGACCACATTGCCCAAAATCTTGTGAGATTTGTCTAGTGAAATGGAGAATGCACATGAAAAAACACTAACAAGGACAAAGTGTATTATACATAAAGTGATGTAGTTTTATTTTGTTGCTGTGTTTGTCACCATGGAAAGGCTAACAGGTCAGGCTCGTCTTTCTGTTCCGTTCACTGGACAATGATCAGATTAATCTCCTTTCGAGCTTATCTATGAGACTACCAAGCATATAAAGATATTCCTTTACTTACAGGGCAAGGCATCGCAGTCATGATAATATTAGAAGTTTCTTAACTCAAGGAAAATTCATGTGGCTTAACAGTTCTGGCTATGGTACATGTCTCTGTGGAATGTCCAGTCCCCTTGGTCAGGTGCTCAGTGTAGTAGATGCACCATTGGTAAAGTTAGCAAAACAGACAGCTGAATGATTTAGGAAGTGACAAATTAGTCAGGATTCCCTTGTGGGGAGCTGTAGAAATCTGGCACCTCCAAACATCCTCGGCAACTGATACAAAGTCCTTTCAATTGTGGCAAGTTGCAGTCTGGCTAATTCAAAAAGGAAATCATGCATAGTACAATTTTCTGCCAGTCTTGCACAGAAACACCAAGTAAAGAGTACTTGGAAGAGAGTATCATTTGCTTTGAATCACAAAGGCCACAATTAGAATTTGACTTTCTTGAAGAGCCAAGGTGCTATGAGTAGAATGACCTGGAGAGTAAGGCAGTCATGAATTTTAGAGAATATCTGAAACTCCTAAATGGTTTGGGTTGGAAAATAAATTTTAAGAATTTGGTCATAACACGCATGCCTCTATACTTCAGCATATTCATTTTGTGTCATTGTGATAATACTTGCAACTCATTAATATACTCACACATAGAACTCTTTTATTTTTTAAATTTACTGTTTATCTAATATATAAAAATATTTTTAAACAGTATGTTAAGGGTGTTACATGAAATGGCTCCGTATATTTATTCATTGCATACTGTTTAAATCCAGTTAAACATACCTGTCTCCTCAAACATTTATT